AATCTGAAGCATCGAAACTTGGGCTTGCAGGTAGGTACTTAACATACTTGGAAGCTGCAAGAAGCATCTCAGCTGTGTTCATCTTGCACCCACCTGGAACCATCTTCCCCAGCTCCTGTGTCTTCTCTGCTATCTTCTTCCTCTTTCTCTCGCCGCCACGCTCTGCGCCGACACCGTCCTCGCCGTCGCCTCCCCAGCCCCACACCATTTCTTCTCACTTAATCACTCGCCGGCGCCGGAAGCTGCAGTGGTGGGACTCCAATATCATTAAACTCCGGCATTAACGAACAACAGTAAGGGTAATTATTATCTTCAAAACCGTCATAGAAATAATTATCCCTATGATACGGTAACTGATAATGATTGTCTTCAAAGCTTAACTTCTGGCGTTTAGGGTAGGGATATTGAAAGGTCTGAATCTGATCATCACTCGGGAAGATGTTCATGTTATAATCACAGAGTGGTAATGATGGTGTTTGATATTGAGGAGGAGAATAGGTTAACTCTGGGAAAGAGTAATAATAATCAAACAATAAACTGTTTGGATTATTATCATTAAGGAAGAAGAAGCTTTCATGATCTGAATAATCTGGTACTAATGGTAGTGGTGGCGGTGGTGTTTCTTGCTGGAAGAAGGAATTAAAGTAACTGCTCATTATTTCTGGGACATCATTGTTCATGGTTTGCTGCACAGAGGCCTCCCAGTTGAAATAGGTGCTTAGAGGCATCGCCATTATGACTCGATCAATGGATATGACCAAACTTAATAAACCTGGTACAACACAGTGCACAAAAAGAACAAAGCCTTTGTTAAGGTTAGCAGACAAAATACGATGACACTAGGATGACGAGAATGCTATTGAAGTGTGGCTCTGATATGGGACATGATACTTCAAACACAGTTTAAAGACTGTTTTATCACGAACGTTGTGGTTATATATGTGTGTGCACACGATACTTGTGCTTGTTCAGTGATAAAAAACTAATAAAGAAGCAGAAGCTGGTTAAGCATATATAGAAGACAAGATACAAAAGAATGCAGTAACAGGAAATGTATACTATTATGTACGTAGAACATGTCTGAGAGAGGAGGAGGAGAGGAGAGAAGAAGAAGATACCTTGGAGAATGCAAGAAGAAGCTGAGGATGTTATGAGTTGTGGGAGTACTAAGTGAGTGAGTGAGGGAGTGAGAGTTAAATAGTAAATAAGAAGAGAAAGAAAGGAAAACGAGAATAACTGACATTATCGTCACTGCCTTGTTGCTGCTTTGTGGGTTCAGATATTTCAGGGGAAGTTGGAGGCGGTTACGGAATACATGTGCTTTTTTAAAATCATTTTTAGGTTAATTATAGTATAATTTGCAAGCTCACTTTTAATTTTAGTTGTTCTCTTAAATATAACTGAATCAGAGGCTTGGGAAATAGATTCTCTCTCATTACAAACTGTATTGTACTCTTACATTCGAAATCTGGTTCGTTGGCTTCTTTCAGCAACATAACAAGTTAATCGAATCTAAGGACTCAGATTGAATCAATTTTTTTCCCTGACCGTTAGACAAAGTCAACGAATGAAATTTCAGATAAAATAAGATGACACAAAGTTTCGATAGGAGAGGATCCAGATCTCATTAACTTTCTCACCAAGCAAAACCATAAAACCTGCCCCTCGATCTCTCTCAGCTTACAAAATATATTTGTTTAAGGAAAAAAATTATCAATTCGAGGAATCTAATGTTTGAGTGGTTTTCTTAGGGTAATGTCTTATGCACTTATTATATATATTTTTCACATGAAATAATTAAAATACATATAAGTTAAAAATAACAACAACATAAATTTTACTATATGTATCTATGAAGAATATAATAAATATATTGAGATTTTTGTTCATTTTCAAGACAACATAAAAAAAATTGATTAATAAAAAATAAAAAGATGCTTGCTCATGCTGGGACTAGTACCAAATTAAACACCAAAATATATTCCTCCTGTCTTAAATATAAGACCTATGGAACAGGAGGAATATATACATTGACAAGATCAAATGAAAAAAAACTGTACAACATCTAAAATTTTAACTAATATAAATACAGAATTCTCAGCTCAGGTATTAAGAAGTTTAAGAAAAATCTATCGTAGATTTTTTTTTCTACTTCATAAATTGCTCCATTTATGGAATGATAGTAACAAATAAATGTTTTTATCGGTAAGAATTGTCTTATAGGATTAAATTTCATTACTTTATAAAAAGAAACCAACAATATTTGCTGTCAGTTTCTCATATATCGTAAGTAATACAATTATGCTATACCATTTTTAGAGTGAAGATAAATTTCAGCAAAATAAATCTCCTTATAATGCTTCAACTTGTCTTAATTCAGTTGTTCCGTTGTTGGTCTTGTAAAAGGAAAAATTGTTGTTAGTTGCTGGTTACAATTATAATTCAAACTTAACATTTCATATTATTTTTACATTTGTGTATCCTTTCCCTAAAGAAGTAAACTTTGTCTCTATTTGTCAATCTAATCCATTACTCTTCTGGTTCTTAATATAGGACCTAATTGTTGAGTTGGTTTTGATTCTAAATATAAGACCCATTTATCATATTTATCAGTTTTTTCTAAATTACCCCTATAGATACTCTCTCAACCATAATCAAATAGAAGAGGAAGAGAGGTATTAAGAAAGATGATTATGGTATTTTAGGAAAAATATGTCACATTTCTTATGATTAACTAACTTATCTAACTTTCTTAATCTAATCAAATTAGTTAAATAGGTCTTATATTAAGGATCAAGGAGTATTATTAATAAATTTCATAATTCAGTTTGTTAAAAATATAGTCACCGCACTCTAACTCTTGATATCAAAGGATTAACCCTAACCACTCAATTAAAATGTGTATTTGATTTTTTTTTTTTAACTTTATACAAAATGTTATTCTAGTCTCTTGATCTTATTAAATATTTTTGGCTAAAGTGTACATTTAATCCTTTAGTTTTGTACAAGGTTTTAATTTGGTCCCTTAACTTTAAAAAATATATTTTTAGTCCTTTAACTCCAAAAATTGTTAACAAAATGATAACACTAAGATCTTAAATATTGATAAAATATTCTCAAATACTAACATATTAAGTTTAATTTTCAAAATATTCATGATTGTTACAAAAAAATTATCATTGAAGTTTAATGATAATGATTTTAGAGCTAAAGGACCAAATATATGCTTTTTAAAATTAAGAAATTAAATTGAAACCTTATATAAAGTTAAATGACCAAATGTATACTTTAGTCAATATTTTTTCAATGTTTAAACTTGATGCCATTATTTTTAAATAATATTTTTACTACTAATCATCATCATTTTTCAAAAGTTAAATTTAATGTGCCAACATTTGATAATATTTTGTTGGTCACCAAAGTTAAAGACATTTCTAGTCCTTCGATTCGCTTCTGCTTATATTAATTTAATATTTTTGGGATCGTTTTCAGGGCTAGAGCCGGGAATCAGGGCCGGCCCGACCCTCCAGGGCCGGCCCTTCAGGGCTGGCGGGCTTAAAAGGGCCGGCCCTTCAGGGCTGAAATTTTAAAAATACTCCAATTTGCTAAGCCCGGCCCTTAAGCTACAGGGCCAGGGCCGGCCGCGGGCTTTTGGCCCGTTTAAGAGAAAAAAATATTATTTTTTATATTTATCAAATTTTTTTATAAAAATATAAAAATAAACCAATGAAATTATTAATAAAAGACATAATATGAATAAAATTAAGTCACAAATATAAAATATCATCATATAAAATATTCATCAGCATCTAAGAACATCTAAAACATTCATTAACAAGATAACAATATCTAAAAGTTTTATCTATAATGCAATTGTACAATAAATAAACACTATCATTAATCTTTTGAAACTTTCATCATCACTATAATTAATTACTTTTCTTCATAAGTATGCTTTTCTTTCGTAACAAAAATATCAAGTTTTTCTTCTTTATAAGAATTTTATTTTGAATTTTGCAATCTAACTATTATTTTACTTTAATGTGAGAAACATTGTTGTTGAAACTCATGAATTTCTAATTCAAATTATAGAATCACAAGTTATATAAGTATAAAAATATTCTATTATCAAATATTATATATTTTAAAAATATCAACGCATATAATATAAATCAAATCATTATTAAAGTTTAAATTAACCGATTTTTTAAAAATTTAATTGGATAAATTATTGTCTAAAACTAAATTTAATTTTAAAATGATAATATACTAAATATTTGAAATATATTAACAATGTAAAAAATAATAACATTAATATTATATAAAAAAATTTAAAAAATAAAAAAATTATAAAAGGGCTTAAAAGGGCCGGCCCGCGGCCCTCCAGGGCCGGCCCTTTAAGCCCTCGGCCCTCCAGGGCCAGCCCTCTAGGGCTTGTTTCTCATTTTAAGAGAAAAATATCAAGCCCGGCCCTCGTAATTTCAGAGCCTAAAACGGGCCGGCCCGATGGGCTCGGCCCGTTTTCCCGGCTCTATTCAGGGCGCTGCATCTTGTAAGATTTGAAGTATCGTGTAATTTTTAATCAACAAAGCAAACCCCGATCGCGTGGCCTAATGGATAAGGCGCTCGCCTCCGGAGCGGGAGATTGTGGGTTCGAGTCCCATCGCGATCGTAAATGGCTGCGGTCCTTTTTTTTCAACATGGAACTCGTTAAAAAGTGAAGAGCAAGCCATTCCTGTTGAAAAGCACTTTCAAGAACTTGTGATTATGGTAAGGTTACATTTAAAACTGCCAAAGAGCTTGTAAGTTTTAATGAGACACACTTTCGGCACAAATCCATTTGTGCGGTTGTGAACACTCATCATTTGGCTAGTAGTTTGTAGAATTTAGTGGGATGAATACATTCGAAAGTGTTCGTTTCATGATGATCAGATAAGAATCATAGCGGGGTCAGCATAGATTCAAGAGAAAGGATGACTTCATTGAATTGAGTGTCGAGATAATCAAATGAAGGCTTCATTAAACTAATTTCCACTTGTACATGTAATTCAATTCTCTGGTAGAGGGGTTCAGAAGAAAAATTAATACTCTTTCGAGCAAGAAATCAGAACAGGACACATCTAACGGCCAAGCAAAGGTGAACATTAAATATAAAAATCAAAGGAAGAGATACCAGAAAGTCATTTTTGCATTATCTTTTGAATAAGAAAATGGGTATTGGAGCAGATGGTCGGTTTAACATCTGGAGCTTACAGCAGATCCAATCCTCAGGAGACAGTCTAGCAGCAAAAGCTTCAATACTTTCCAATTCTTCCCTGTACAAGGAGAACATAAAATATGAGACTTCAAAAACCCGCGACTATTATCAGTTCAACCAGCAGTGAAAGTCCCAAGTTAGTATTCAATTATTCTAAGAGAATATCGCAAAATAATAGATTATTATATCCTGAATTTGAGAGATTGTTCACTTTTCAACATCAATATTACATCAGAACCGACTCTTGTGTCATCTTCATCTCCACCTAACTCATCACTATTTATCTGACTAGACGAGCGGGGATGCAAAACATACTTAATTTGGTACGTTTGGTTATGCTACTGGGGAGGGAATCTCCTTTTGTCGCACAAAAGAGGAAATATGCAATACCTATCTCCATCATCATCATTTAAGTAACAGTCCTCTTTGTTTAGGAGCACACAAAACATTTTTTCTTCTCATTCCATTTCGTTTTGAGTATCAAACAGAAAGGTTACCGCTAGATGGTGATAGGAGGCGTTGGAAGTCACGTGTTCAGGCTTATTTTGCCTTTTTATTTACCAAAGGCAACACGAAGTAAGGTAAGAAACTGGTCAAACCATAATCAGTGCACTGTTATTCGGTGAGTATTACCCTTTATTTTAGTCAATCATTGAAAATAAATTGTTCATGGAAAAAAAAAAAAACAAAAAGGAGAATTTTTTTCAAGAAAATATGAGAATGAACACGCTAGAAACTATTAAATATGTCTTCATCAAACCGATTGATGAAGTCAGGAGACTTCACTGAGGCCCCGATGATGTGAACATTCATATATAACGATAATGAAAGCAATTTAAAATATTCGGCCAAAAAAAACATTTATTAATAGAGGCTAGCAAGTATGGAATATCACCATCCTCCGGGGTGCCCCACATAAACCACTAAGCTGATAAGCCCTCCGGGCATTAAAATTCTTTTAGCAGCTTCTAGTGCCTGTAATGTTGTCTCCGATCTTGTTACTATTTCTTTGTCACCACCAGGAAGATAACCTAAGTTGAAAGCAACAAGCCTAAAATATCCAGCACATAAGATAGTGCTTAAACCTTGAATATGTACAAAAACATGAATAAATGCTATCTCATCATGATAATTATATGAGCATCTACAACTTAATATAAACAAATGTGGAAACAATAATCAAGATCATAGTCCATTGTTTAGGTTATTCCAGGATCAACCAAGCAACAAATAAGATAATAAAAATCAGAGTTACGAATAAACCAAATAAGTTGTCCAGAGTTTTTTGCTGAATTGTCAATATCAAAAACCAATTGATAGGAAAGAGAGATAAGGGCATGCAGAAACTCAAGAGAAGAGAGTACCTAACGGAGGCATGGCTTGGAATAACTTCCTCCATTTTACTATGGCAGACGTTGAAGAGCTTGATAAGTTGTTTCTGCATATATTTTTCAGTTATTGGTGGGAAAGGGTGACACCAAAGTTCATAGTTTGTTTTTATAATTAAAATGCCGAAATTATAAGGCTCTGCTCAAGGCCTCTTACAAACCAAAAGTATATGAACAGCCAGATAAACAAATAATTAATAAGGCAATAATTCAAGGATAAAGAAGTTAGGTTATTTCAGGATTAAAAAAAATTAGGTCCGTGAATATCAATAAATAATAGTTTCCAATCTATACTAATTTAGTGATGAAGTTCTACATTCAACTTTAGTCCTCACCTCGGTTGGATTAAGGGACTCGTCCAGCAAGGAGGAAGTCATATCCAAAGCACCTTTCTGAATGTCCAATGCATAAACCAAACCCTTATGTGAATTATCAGCAACCAATTTGAGCATTGCTAAGGTGTCATAACCATTACCACAGGTGGCATCAACAACTGTATCCCCTTTCTGGACAACATGCCTCCATACCCTGGTGGTAACAATACTTACATCAAAGCCAAACCAATCCATCACAAGGCATGTTGAAAATATGGAATGAGTAATAAAGCATGCATAAAATAGCCAGTAAAAGATTAAAAAATATACGTTGAACGGTTACCATCAATAGAGGTAAAAACTGGAAAGCTTCGTTGAGTTGGTATATAATTACATTTAACCCAACCAAAGCGCAAGGTAATCAACTGATGTATAAAGCACAAGCCCTTCATGATGCATTAAACAGAACTTTGCCATAAATGCATAAGATATGGGTGAACTCGAAGCATTGTAGCTTCAATATCTTACCCTTCTCCCTTCTACCATGTCATGGTTTTTCCATAACCAAAAGTAAGAGAGTCATTCAGGCAACAGAATTGAAATTAGGTAGAGAATCATTCTAACGAAGCAATTGGTCATTACTCATTCAGGTGTGACCGTGTGAGTCCCATAATTAATCCCCTGACTACTAACCAGTTAGTCAAAAGCGATACTCCAAAATCTAGCCATACCGTGTTTGACTCTCTAATCAAACGCAAAACCATACTTCAAACTGCACCTAGACAAAACACTTCAAAGCAATATAGGCAGGAATTTGGAAAACTCTTCAAGATAGCAATAGGAGAAAAGAAAGAAATCACTAAGTGCGTACATGTGAGCAACGTCCGTGGCCCTCTTCTTGCCAAAGAGATAGCCCGCCAAAGCATCCTCCATTCCTGAAAATGGGCATTTGCAGAAAATTACACACACCGATTAGGGTCAATCCTATAAGAGAAATCACGCTGAACCCTCGATTGACGGATATTGCGTACCAGAAAGGGTAGAATGTCTGGGGAGCGAAGAAGATTGGAAATGTGCTCCATTTTGTTGATTCGACTTCACACAAGAACAGAATTTCCTGGAGCTCCTGCGCGAAGTGTGTCTTCGAGAAAGATCAAAGAATCCACACGAAGATCTTGTTTTGGGTCTCTGAATTGCGATTGAACCTGACCAGAATCTCAGTAACGACATCAATTGTAGTTGAACAAGCCACTACAGTGCTACTATTGTCTGCGCCGCAAATCTCGTTAACCGGATTAACAAAATTTTTTGCCTCAACCGACAAAATTCCAATAATCACAATAAGATGAAAAAACACAATAAAACGCGCTTGCATACTACTCTTCCGGTCCTTAATATAGGACCCAATTAGTGAGTTGGTTTTGGTCCTAAATATAAGACCAATTTCTCATATTTATCAATTATCTCTAAATTACCCCTATGGATACTCTTTCAACCATAATAAAGTAGAAGAGAAAAATCATATTAAGAAATATGATTATGGTATTTTAGGAAAAACATGTCATATTTCTTATAATTAACTAACTTACCTAATTTCCTTAATCTAATCAAATTAGTTAAATGGATCTTATATTAAGGACCGGAGGAGTATATTACTCCTCCAAGGGGAGAGAAAAGATATTTTTTTTGGGTAATTTTATCTACCATTTATTATTGTATTTACTTTGTTTAGGTATATTATATATTAAATAAGGATAAAATTAAAAAGTTTATTGAATTTTAAATGAACGTTAATAAAATTTAAGATTTCCTTTGATTTGTGTGAAATATATTAGAAGTGACTTATATATAAAATTAGAAGAATAAATATATGTGTGTGTGAATCTTCCGATTCCGCAATTAATATGCATAATCAATACATATGATTTGAGAAAATAAGTCTAAATTTAGAATTTTATATTTAGAATTAAAATAAATTTCTTAACTAACTACAAGAAAAGGCTAGATATTCTCATGAAAGCTACCAAATTGATTATTTCACATACTTAATTATAATTATTCAACTAGTTCCTTCTCAACTAAAAGTAAGGAAGTAAAATATATATATATATATATTAGTGTTTGATTGTCCATTTCTTGCCTTTCGCATCCCACGATAGAATCTTTTTCTTTTTGTCTTTTTTCCCAATTAAGTTCACAATAGAATCTTGACATGGTTAATTGGTCCTCATTGTAGGTATTTCACTGTCGTAAGCAATACCTTATTGAATCAGAGAGTTCATGCACATTGAAGGGACACACGCTTGTTTCAATAAGAAACTTTAGAAGAACCAGATTGAGAAATATTCCTTTAACGCTTGTGCCGTATATCTAATTCAACTGCACAAGCTATCTATATTACCTATTTTATATGAATTAAAACAACTTGAAACAATGGAAAATCATCTTCTATAAATTCAAGCACGTTCATGAATGCTCATCTGATCTAAATTCCTAATTTCTCCAATCACTCGTAATTCTTCAAAGCATGAATTTTATCGCACAGATTCTTGCACTGTTATTTTCTCTCTCAAGTCTATCATCTTCTTCCGATGCTTGTCATAATGATAAAACCCTAATCAGAAGCAGCTTCAGCGTCGACCTTATTCATCGAGACTCAGTTTTCTCACCATTTTACAACTCTTCTCTGTCACGTTCACAGATCATAATGAAAGCAGCGAGGCGATCGGTTTCTCGAATCAAACACTTTCGCGATCGGACTGGTGGTGGTGGTAATGGAGCTGTGATAACTCCGAACAGAGGAGATTATCTGATGAAGATGTTCATGGGGACGCCATTGGTGGAGCTTCATGCAGCAGCAGACACAGGAAGCGACCTCGTTTGGGTTCCGTGCTTGCCTTGTGGAGGTTGTGATCCCCAGAACGCGTTTGATCCTGCAAAATCTTCCACTTTCATGGTGCTGACTTGTGATTCCCAGCCCTGTGCCTCCTTACCCAGACATTCCTGCGGAAATTCAAATCAGTGCAGGTACTAATAATATAATAGATCATCTGCTTTGTGATCATACGATAAATTTAACACATACACGATGAAGATGACATGATAAAAAAGGAAGTGAGTTCTGTATATATTGGAGAAGTAATTAAGTTGCAAATGACTTGAATGATATATGATGAAACAGAAGATATGATTTGTGATTTTTGGATATCACATGGTGATTTTGTGTTGTGAAATGACTTGAAAATTAAAACAAAAAAAAAATATTGCCTTTGATTTTTAATTTAAAAACCTAATTAGGTTAGATTTATTTCTAAATATAAGATATTAATTTCTGTTGTTTTTTAAATTTGAAATTCTTTCTGCAAAGTATCCATATTAATTATCTGTCAAGGGAGCCGAAGAATAGTTTAAAGAAGTCGACGCGCTTTAAAAATATAGTACTCCTCCGGTCCTTAATATAAGACCAATTTAACTAATTTGATTACATTAAGGAAGTTAGGTAAATTAGTTAATTATAAGAAAAGTAACACATTTTTCCTAAAACACCATAAACATCTTTATTAATACCTGATCTCCCTTTTCTACTTAATTATGGTTGAGAGAATATCTATAGGGGTAATTTAGATAAAATTGATAAATATGAGAAATGGGTCTTATATTTAGGATCAAAACCAACTCAAGAATTGGTTCCTATATTAAGGACCGGAGGAGTATTATATTCTGAAAGAAGTAATATTATTAAAAAAATTTCATGCAGAAAGATGCTTAAATGTTTTAAATGTTCATTATCGGACTTTCAAGGGAAAAAACTTCCCCACGAGTCAGACTAATTCTCCTGTTGATGATGACAAGCAAATATCAAAATCCACATAAGTTATTTTTCTTTTTTCTGTAATTTATGAAATGCAGAACTTTCTGCAGAATCCGATAAGTAACCTGATAAATAGGGACAGGTTAAATCTTGCATGAAAATAACGGTTAGCCACTGACGTACACAATCATAACTAGGGAATTTAAATACAAGTTTTAACCTTTTTATGCAAACTAACCAGTATTCTCGATCGATAGGTACTTCTATAAATATGGAGACCAATCATTCTCTACAGGAGACTTAGCCACAGACACAATCAACTTCGGCAACGCTGTTTCGTCTCCTTCAACTGTGATTGGATGTGGACACGACAATCAGTTCGAAGACAACACAGGAATCGCAGGTCTAGGTGGCGGTCCTCTCTCTCTTATTTCCCAACTCGGCGATCAAATCCGCCATAAATTCTCCTACTGTCTCCTCCCTTTCTCCTCCAACACCAACAGCAAACTCAAGTTCGGCGACGAAGCAACGACCTCTTCATCCCCAAACAACGATGACGCCATCGTCTCCACTCCTCTGTTCACCAAAACCCCGACAACCTTTTACTATGTCAATCTCGAAGGTGTCACCGTTGGGCACAAGACTGTTCAGACAGGTCAAACTGGAGGAAACATAGTGATTGATTCGGGCACGACGTTGACGGTGCTTGAATCTGGTTTTTACAGTGAGCTTAGAGACGCAGTGAGAGAAGCCGTTGGGGTTGAACCGGTGACGAACCCACCTGATCCGTTGGACTTGTGTTTCCGATATGAGTCTGAGATGGGAGAAGGTCTTGAGTTTGTGTTGCATTTCACGAATGCTGATATGAGATTGCACAGTGGGAACATGTTCAGCATTGAGGATGATTTGCTTTGCTTGCTTGTTATCCCCAGTGACAGTATTTCGATTCTGGGAAATATTGCTCAGATCAATTTTCAGGTGGCATTTGATCTTGCAGAACAGAAAGTTTCTTTTGCTCCTGCTGATTGTACAGCTATCTAGAAATATGGGAATTCTTATATGCAAGACTCAGATCTTTGAAAGTCTGAGATGAACATGAGTTTGTGGATATCCACTCATGTCATGTCTTGTCTCAGAAAGATGCTTTTCTCTTTCACTCTGCTGGAAGAAAAGCACAGTTGCTGGGTTCTCTCTTTCAAATGAAAGTAAGCAAGCAACACTTTTAGAAGATAACTAGCAGGAATGCTTTTATCCAGAAATAATTAAGGATGCAGCAATTTAGGGGGGGAAAAAAAGCGAATGTACAGATCATGAAAAATTATTATGAGCCCCAAAGAAGGGAGGTATTCATGAAAGAATTTCAATAATAAATGAGCAATATTAACATGTCGGTTAAATCTAGTATAGGAGATAGTTTCTAACCTGATGAAACAAAGTTTGAATTTTTATTGGGGGATATGTCAGTAATGATAATCAAGCACCATGATATTTATCAAATTTCAACAGTTTAAATTTAATATAGAAAGATTTATTTTTTTATTTTTTTATTTTTTAAATATATTTTCATTTAATAAGTGTAGATAATGCAGATTTAATCTTTTAGCTATAATTTTTTTCAAAAAATTATTTTTATTTAAAAATTATTAGTTAAAAATTTTAAATCTAAATTATTGAAACTGTATATAAATTGTGTAGATTTCTTAGCAACGATGAGCTCTGAAACTAATTCCTATCTGGTATAGAATAAGATTACAATCACCTTTAGTGTTTGACACGATTTTAAACATTATTGCTTTTTGATAATTATATTTCTTTAGACTCCACAACAGTTTCCCGATAAATTTTTAGCTGTCCTGTTTTCAATACAAAATGCACATGATCTGATTGAGTGCAAACAAATACACACATGATACAGTTCTGTCTTTGTGCTACGAGTCAGCCTCTAGCCCTCTACATCAAACTTGCACAAATCTTGAAGACGCAAGCAATGGGTCATGTTTGGAGATCTGGGCCTGCTTTTGTGTCCAATTCAATCTAATGAAAAAGGCTATTTTTTATTATATAATAAAAAATAAGATATATGTGCTAATGCAGGTTAATCGGATTGATAAGAATTTGCATACTTTGTAACTCTGTGTTTCAATCTTACCGACCAAAAAAAATAAAGGAAAAATCACAAAAAAAAATAATCATGGAATTAGAAAAATTACAACAAGGACCGGTTCATAAAAATTATTATCAAAACCCATACTAATATTGTCATAAGTTCCAATTTGTAATTTTTCTAATTTCATAGTCTTTTTTTTGCGATTTTCTCCAAAGTAAAAGACTTTGTTAACAAATAATCAATCAATATTCTTAAACATTTAGTCGATGGTCCTAATAATGTGTATGAATAGTTCATCATTATTATTAAAACTTCAAACAAAAATATATGGTGCGAGGGAATTAATCCCTACAACCAGGTGAATACCTTAAGCTAAACAAAAAAAAAAATCAATAAATACTTGTATGAATTTAAAATTTGTTATGTTATCATATCTCACCCAAACTTCTATGGGAAAATGGCAATTGGAGATCTCATGAAAATCGTTAATGACAGTTGAGATCTTTAATATAGGTTTAATACTCTTTTTAATAAGATCCAGTAGCATAAAGCTCTTTTTACTCTCATAAGAGCCGTGAGATCACAAGTTAAGAGTCTTGTCTTTAGATCCTGGGTGAATCTAATCTTTTTTCTAAAATTTTGACCAAAAAAAAAGGTTCCTTTTACTCTCAAGAACCCTCCTCACTAAAAATTAGAAGATGTTCACAAATGTAGCTCTAATAAATGATTAGGCCATAATGAAAATTTTAAAATTATGAAAATCATTGCATTTAATTAAAAGTAAACTTTTAAAATAAAATATCAACAGACTCTGACTATTTTATCCCGAATTTCAGACTTGGATCTTATACATGGGGAGAGAAAAGAGTATTAATTTAATATTTTAATCAATTAAATATTAATTTTCACCAGCGTATTTCTGGCAAATGTCGGTGCGGTGTGGTGTCCTACCGCACGGCGTTCCTACGTGGCATTTTGGGAAGAACGATGAATCACCAGGGGTAATTTAGGAATCCAATTTCTCATTTTGACAAATCGCTGAAATAATATTTTCGGCGCAAGACGAAAAGTGAGATGCCACTGGCAAAGCGGGTGGAAGAGTCGTCATTCTGTTTCTGAAGGCACTGAACCAGAAAAAGAACTAAATTTGATTTCCATTTTTTTCATACCAAGAAGAAGAAGTAGACTGAGACTAGAAGAAGCGTAATGCGGGGAAGCGATATAGATTAAAGATGAGTTCTTTTCCTTTTCACATAAACGCTTTGTTTCGGATGCGGAAATTGCTCTTCCTTCCTCATATCTTGAACCTCAGCGGATGATCATGAGCTCGAGCAATGAAGAAGAGAAAAATTGCTCCTTTATCAGGTATTTTGATTCTGTTTCGTATTCTATCTGGTATTGCGGTGTATTGGATGTCTTAGTGATGCCCTTTGTTTTTTGTCTTACCTAATAATCACGGATACTGTACGGATAACGCGGCACGGACGACGCGACAAAGTATTTATTGTTAAACGTATGATCTAAAGGGGTGCGGTGTGTCTGATAGGGGTGTACGACAGATCAAGTATTGGTGCTTTATTGATCGTGAAGTGCTCTGCTATTTTATCGATGGCGACGCCGTATTTTGAGGGTTGCCGGGATAGTGTTAGATTCCTTGATTGATAATTTTGGATTTAGGTTCGGGGTGGAGTTGAAAGGAAGCTGACTTTGTTTCTGAGTTTTTTTTCGAGTCAACTTTGCTAATTCTGGTGTTTTATATATCTCTTCTATGATGATAATGGATATTACGCGTCCACGTTTTTGGTTAGTGGTGATCTCGGTTCTTGACTTATGTGCTACCTGCAATTGTTCTGTGACTAAATGGTTTATCCCTAGAAGCAGCCAGATTTGCACTTATAACTAAAGATAGTTCACTTGAACATCGGGCTGTAATTGAGGGCACAGATTACAAAAGGCCAGGATCATATTTTCAGGGCTGGATGTCTGTAATTTATGTTAAGCATGGATATTTTTATCAATGTACATGCATGTTTTCCTTTGGTCTGTGAACTTATATGGCACTGTCAATTTCAGAAGGTCCGTTCCGTCCCCGCTATTATCATTTAACCTAGATTTATGCAGCTTCAGTTGGTAGCCTGTGCCTAGAGGAACTTGGGAATTCTCAAGGCCTTGGAAATGACAAGACATCGGATATATCAATATAATAGGATAGACAAGGATAAAGACTTTTTTTCTACATTATATAAGTGGTAGAAGAGATTAATGAAATGTTATTTAGGCTTAGATTGAGAACTTATAAATAAAATGACATGACATCTTTCTGTTGCATGTGATATATGGCAGTATAACACAGCATCAGTAATTCTCTTGGAATCCATATATTTTCTCCTTCAATGATTTTCATTGCAAAGGCTAAGAGCTAATACTTACCTGAATGCTTCGTTAAAGAAAAATTTTAAAAATAAAGTAATTTGCTGGCTTTCATTTTCTTGAAATTATTTTGTTCCAAGGTTTATTAAAATTTTCCCTTATGGTTTTGTTTTTAACATGTTGCAAATGACTTAGCGAAAAAAACTGGTAGTTTTTATAAAAAGTAGTCATAAAGTATAGTATACTCATAAATAAAAACAGATGAAATTCTAGTCAGACCATCAATTTGCATTTTCCGGATAAGTATTGGACATAAATGATAACTTATCACCAAAATATAAACTTATACCCAGTTCATATCTGTTCTCCTGTGACATAACTTTCCTTGAAGTCATTGAAGGGAGCTAAAATTAATCACCAAGTGGATCATTGATTGTTCTGCAGCCAGATTCATTATTCAGTTTAGTTGAAGTTGGTACCATTACTTTACTTTGATTCATATTTATAACAAAATTTTAACTTTAAAGGTAATTAGCAAACAGTCGAGGATAGAAATATGTAGTATCACTTTTAGCAATTTAGTATCTCTCTAACAAGTCTATTGGTCTTTGTTCTTTTTTGTTGTTTACCATTTAAAGTTGAAACAACGTACAGTGACTTCTTTTTTCATGTGAAATTGATGCTCTAACTTAATTCCATTATGTTTGCAGGTCAATTGCTTTACGTTAAGGTTGTTTTTTGGAAAGATGAAAGTGGGACCTGAGAATTTTCAAGATTATAGATGCTTCTTGACATTTCTATCCAGTGACTGAATATGATCAGTTGCTAAAATATAGAGCTTATTTATGATTTTATCTCTAATTAAGAGTTAAAATTTCTCTTTGAAAGGATTATCAGTCATCTCCCAACAGCTTCAATGCTATAAGATGGACCCTAGATATGATGGCTTCCAGCCTGTTTCACGAACTGTAATGCAGGACCACCTGGATGGGGTGCATGCTGGTAGGGGAGCGTATGCCCCTAATACATCTGAAGTTAAACCTGTACTTAATTATTCCATACAGACTGGTGAGGAGTTTGCACTCGAATTTATGCGTGACAGGGTGAATCTCAGGAAGCCTGTAATTTCCAGTGCTGGTGATCCCAATTCTGCAACAGTTCATAGTAGTCGTGCAGGATGTGAAAGTGGATCAGATATTTCTATGCGTGAAATGGGTGGCAGGGATCCAAAAGAGTATGATGGTAAGGATACATTATTACATGGAGGCAGATGCAATTATGGATCTATTCAATCAATGCCAAGAACTTCATATAATCAGGAAAATGGTCGATTTTTGCATGGGTGTACCTCTTATGGAAGTTCTGATAGCTCATCAATGACAATGAAAGTCCTTTGCAGCTTTGGTGGTAGGATATTACCACGACCTGGTGATGGAAAACTTAGATATGTTGGGGGTGAAACACGCATTATCCGAATAAGAAAGGACATATCTTGGCAGGAGCTTCTGCAGAAATCATTATCAATATATAGCCAAGCTCATGTGATTAAGTATCAGCTTCCCGGGGAAGATCTTGATGCCTTGGTCTCTGTGTCATCTGATGAAGATTTGCAGAATATGATGGAGGAATGTAATCAACCGCAAGATAGAGAAGGATCGCAAAAGCTTAGAATTTTTTTATTCTCAATGAGTGATTTGGATGATGCTCAATTTGGTCTCAGTAGTGTGGGTGATGATTCCGAGGTCCAGTATGTTGTTGCTGTTAATGGCATGGACTTTGGTTCAAGAAACAACTCAGTGCTTCTTGGTGCGAGCTCTTCAGCAAATGATATACGTGAATTGGACAGGCAAAATACTGAGATGGAAGTTGGGAGGGTTCCTGTAGAATCTATAGGTGTTGGCAACACTCCATTGACTGGGAATTATGACTCATCACCAGCCATTCAGTCTTCAAAACCTATGCTTCCAACGTCGTCAAATGCTCATGAACCCTATTCACTCTACAAAGACCAGATGATGCACCTTGGGGAGGCTTTTAGTCAATATCCTATGCACCATGGTCTTGATCCTTCTCAAACCTTTACTTTCATAGAGACTTCTAACGCCATGCCTCCTCATGGGATGATATATCAACAGGGGATTTTGAATGAAGGTTCTCCTAATGGATTAAAAGCACAGAATTCGGAAATACCTGCAATGCTGGTGAAAAAAATGGGTGATAGTTCAGTTCCACAAGATAGTAACCCCGCAAAAGTTCTATCCTCAGAAACACCATCCCCTGTTCCCACACAACCAAAAGATGATTTCTTGAACAATAATGTTAATAAAGCTACGGTTGCAGTTAACATACCTGAGGGGAAACTGCCCACACTGCCATCAATGAAAAAGGAGCAGCAACAGGAGTATAAAGAGGCCCCTTCCACATCAAGCAGTGCATTTGGTCCTGGTAATGTTGATTCTCAATCCAATGGGATTGATTTAAGTTGCCTTCACCCTCCTCCAATGCCTAAAAGAGTTTATTATTCTTATTCTGAAAGAATGCCTAGGGAGCAAGTAGAATTGCTAAATCGGTCTGCAAAGTCGGATGACACGTATGATTCTCAGTTTCCTGTATCAGATTTACTTTCTGACATCAATCCCCTGTATTCAGTCACTGAATCTAGTGACAACTTGCACAATAGAGGTCAGTCTAATTTAACAGAGGATTTAAGTGCCACATCAAAACCACTGTATGTAGATGGCAACATCATTGTTAATGGGCTTAACGAAGTGCAGATGCACAAACTGTCACCTGAGATGAGCGGTCAGATAAGGTCAAAACCCTCAGAACAAGTGGATGTGGAGTTGGAGCAGGTATTATCAAACGATGAAGGAAGTAAAATGGTGGTCAATGAGGATAAGGCCATCGGACCTGAGACTGATATTTATTTTGAAGATAACCACAATAAACCCCTGGTTGATGAAAACAAGAACTTAAAATCAGATTTTCCTGCTTTGGATCAGGCCCTTCCTTTTAAGCACAATGATGGTCCAACATCTCATCTTCCAGAGACTAATCGGGGTCATGGGTCAGGGAAAGAATCGAATGATGATTCTATGGTGCAAGAAGTACCTGTTTCATTGACTGGAAACACAACGGAAGACATTTCTCAAGATTTTACATCAAATGATCTTCCCAAACAAGCACAGGCTGACATTCTTATTGATATCGATGATCGATTTCCTCGCGAATTGCTTTCTGATATGTATACTAAAGCGATACTTGCGGAAGACGCATCTAGTCTGCATCCACTAAATAATATTGGAGTGGGTGTAAGCATAAACCTGGAAAACCATGAACCTAAGTCATGGTCGTATTTTGGGAAATTGGCACGAGAAGGGCTAGATAACATCTCTCTTATTGACCGGGATCCTCTTGGTTTTTCACCTGAACCTGGAAATGTAGATGATAAAACTCACCTTGTCACGCTGCTAACACCTGATGGAATATCTGTAGACCAAGCAGATTTGCATCTCAATTTTGATGGGGAAAGTCAGAAGGGTTTTCATGGAATGATTGGAACAGAAACCTCTTATGTGCAGTCTAACTATGATCATTCCCAAGTGAAGGAGACTGAAAGTATGCAGTTTGATGCCACAGTGGAGAATTCAAGAGGTCAAGAGTCAGAATTTGAGGTGTGTTTTCTGTGGTTAGGTTTCAGGATCTGTGTGATCTGGTTTTATTCTGACAAACTTTTGATGGTTTTATTTTAGGATGGGAAGTTTGAAACAAGAAATAGTGGTCTACCTCCACTTGATCCTTCTCTGGGAGGTTTTGATATCAGTACCTTACAGGTATGATGCTTGTATATATGCAGCAATGCTTCTATATTATGATCCATTTACTTCTGATAGAAATTAATACCAGTTGCCTTGAGGATGAGTTTAATCAATAATGATGATGGTAATAATAGGGGCGTCATTATCCTGATGCTGGATCAGTTGTGGTTATCTTGATTTTTTATTAAGCCATGATGCGAGCCATCCGATCCACTTTCCTCTTGAACTATAAGCATTCAGACCTAGGATCTCTCTCTAAGGTGAGAGTTTATATAGGCATGCCATTATGTGTTAGCTTAGGATACTATAGTGCAACTGGGAACATGCAATTTTTGTGAAAGGCCAGATTTTAATTGCTTAGATTTCTTGCCCTTAGTTTGGAAAGGGGTTTGATTTTTCCCCCCAAGTTCTCTATCTTATGAGTTCTGCTGCTTTATGATGTGAGAAACTTAAAGGAATTGGCAGATTTTCTTTGGTATTTTCAGAGTCAAATACTGAGTCATACTATCTTTTTGCTAGATCGGAATGTTGATAATATAAATAAATGAATTTTGAATCTTTTTTTTTTCCTTCCAAACTGGCAAATATTGTGTCCTCATAGAGTGAACAAAATTTCAAAGTATGTATGTTAATATATATGAAGCTCGGAAAAGGCTTGTGCTGTAACACTCTTATGAATAAGAAGCGCACATGATGACATACATTGTCAAAGAACCACTTGACCAGCTTAAGCTTATGTTGTTTTAGCTTTGATCTGAGGGATTTTGCCTATCTACAAATGTTTGCCTAATTCTCAACATGAGACCCAATAGGCTCACAAGATCAACAAATGTACAGGCTCACCGTTGCCGTATGTTGTAACTCAATAGTAACTTGTGCTGAAATTTACTTATAGAAGTTTCTGGTAGATTTCATCTAGAAGTTTAAATGGTCAAGCACAAGTCTAGGAATAATAAGTTTTAAGATGAAGTAAGGGCATTCTTATAGAAAGATGTTATAATGTGCAACGGACTTGCCTTCAAGGACATCTTTAGGGAAATAAAATTGATAAGTCGGCTCACCAAGCAAAACCAGCTGTTTTTCACCTTTTTTTGGAAAATAAGGCGCTAGAAGTAAAGGATTTTGTTCTGTAGAAACATTTACAGGCTCTCTGTATATGCATTTGCTATCTTAAACATTGGTCGCAAGATCTGTATGTTTTGTCATAGAGTTCCGTTCATATGCTATTGCTAGGTCATAAAGAATGAAGATCTTGAAGAGCTGAAGGAATTGGGTTCTGGGACCTTTGGAACTGTGTATCATGGAAAATGGCGGGGAACAGATGTTGCCATTAAGAGAATAAAGAAAATCTGTTTCACTGGAAGATCATCTGAGCAAGAGAGACTGGTAACTATTGGACAGCATGCTTTATCTTCTCTTAATGATATCTTAATGGAAGCTGCTTAAATGAGAATGACATGTATTTGAGGCGTGCGAGCTGATGATAACTGCTTCTTTTCTCAGACTGTAGAATTCTGGCGGGAAGCTGACATCCTTTCCAAGCTTCATCATCCAAATGTTCTGGCATTCTATGGTGTAGTCCAGGATGGACCAGGGGGGACAATGGCTACTGTTACAGAGTACATGGTGGATGGTTCTCTCAGGCATGTATTACTTCGCAAGGATAGGTAATGTCTCCAGATGGAGTTAACCCATTTCTCTCACCTAGTTTGTCCAACCTGTACGCTAGAAATATAATTTTGGTTTTGCTTAGATTGTTATGTTCAAGCCATATTACAGTGATACTACCTGATTGTGATGTACTACCTGAATTCCTCCTTACATTTAATAAAGCGAATGCCATAAGACAATGCAACATCGTCTCAGATGCAAGTCATACCACTTTTCTGCTTGTTACAATAGCTTTCACAATCATGTAGCTGCCTTAGCCATAAGAACTAAAATTATCATGTTAATGAATGTGTTCATATGATGATCTCATTTTCTAGATAGACTTATCTCCAAGGATTTGCCACGATTTCGATTACAGGTATCTTGATCGTCGCAAGAGGCTGATAATTGCCAAGGATGCAGCTTTTGGAATGGAGTATTTGCACTCAAAAAATATTGTGCATTTTGACTTAAAATGTGACAATTTGCTTGTAAACTTGAAAGACCCTGTGAGGCCAATATGCAAGGTATTTATGCTGATAATATTGTTTTGCAATTTGCCTGATCTCTATCCTTTTGAGAAAACTGAGAAATGCTTTCTCAGGTTGGTGATTTTGGCTTGTCAAAAATCAAACGAAATACATTGGTTTCTGGTGGTGTGCGTGGAACCCTACCTTGGATGGCTCCTGAGCTGCTGAATGGCAGCAGCAACAAAGTCTCAGAAAAGGTAAAATATGAAATTTTCTCTCATGAATTCTGTAATAGCACTAGTTAGCTGTTCATGGTTCTGCCTCTAGATGCTGGAATTCTATCCGTCTTAAGTTATAAAATAGCTGAAGTCTCAACTATTCCAGATTCATTCTTCTATAGTCCAGTTCTTAGGATTAGTCATCCTTCCTCCTGTCTTGAGGTGAAATTCCTCTCTAATTATCTATCTGAGTATTTTAACTTAAATCAGCATCCTTTGCTTCAGATAACTACTGTGAAGCTTGTTGGAAATACGATAACTTTGCTGATATGCTGTAAATTTTTGTCTATTTATGTTCCAGACTAAAAGACAGTGCCTTAAGTTTATCATCCTATTTCTATTCTTTTGTCTTTGGCCGCCTTCACTTTTATGGTGCTTGCAGTTATTGGTTGCTGAGAATGCCTTTGATTTGTAGGTTGATGTGTTCTCATTTGGCATAGTATTATGGGAGATTCTGACCGGTGAGGAGCCATATGCCAATATGCACTATGGTGCAATTATAGGTGCGATCTTTAATGCTTTTCTTTGTTAAACCTTTTAGTAGATTTAAGGATCTTATAAATTTTAAATTATCTTAAATACTGTCTCGTGCATCAATTATCAGCCATTGAGCCATTTTGATTCTGGGGCTGCAATTCGCCACTAACAACACCCGAACAATACAGGGAGAAATTATGTTGTTTTCTCCTGAACTAAAAATTAAAAACTTCATATGTATATATAGATAAAGGAAAAATGACCGTTGCGGACTCATTAATGACAATTGAAGACCTCAAATAGGAAAATATTTTCAAGGACCATGGAAATAAGGGATTCGTGATGTTTTCAAAATTTTTGTTCTTGTTGCCTGAAGTTTCTTTCTTTCTTTCTTTTCTTGGGCCGAATCTTCCCTAAAGTTGCAGCTTTTCTTGATGTTAGATGTTTTAAATTCCTCCCCTCAATGACCATATGAATAAATTGCCATGATGCTTCTTAAAACTATCAGTCATGCTTTCTATAGTTACTACTTGATTTTCTTACAACAATGCTGCAACTTTGGCATTAGTTTTAGATGGAAACATTCCTGTAACATATAGAAAGTTAGGTTACATAGCACAAGTGGAAATATTAAGGGATGAATTGTAATATTCTCATCATACATCTGAATGCTCTCTCTCTGTTAATCATACTAGTAATATTTATCTTTCTACGTCTTGATATCTGGCTCTGTTAAATAAGCAGGTGGGATTGTAAATAACACATTAAGGCCAACAATACCAAGTTCTTGTGATGCTGAGTGGAGGGCACTAATGGAGGAATGTTGGGCACCGAACCCTGCAGCCAGGCCTTCCTTCACAGAAATAGCCAGTCGCTTAAGGGTCATGTCTGCTTCTGCTTCCCAAACCAAATCACAGCCTCACAAGCCAACCAAATGAGATAGTCGTTGGATTGCACTGATACTGTATGAGATTTTCTTTATTCTCAAATTTTTGGTGGTACTCCAAGGATGTATGTTAGAGGTGGTGGCTATCCAAGTACTATACGCTGATCCAAATTTTTCATGTATATCAACTGCAAAGAAGCTCAAAAGTTTTGCTTCTTGACTGCTTCATAATTTTCCGTTCAGAAGCCTGAGGGAATGTCCTTACTCTCCTTTGCCACTTTGGTGGTATTAGTTTTATTAACCTTAATAAATTCCTATGTATTTTCGCTGATTTTAATTACCCAGCAAAATCACAAAGTATCAATTTGAAATTCTTACCGAAGCTTAGCTGTTGCAACTTGCAAGCCCTACATGGATTTTATCCTCATATTGAAATATGAATATAGAATGGCTATAATTTATTTGGGGAAAAAGTTGGGCATGCTAAATGGTTGAGATTTAATCTTACTTTATTACTAAGAAATACGGTGTCTGTTATTTTACTAAACACAAGTAAAATAAAGAAAATTTTTAAATGCTACTTTTATATGTAAAACAAGATTCATTACTTGGAAATTACGTAGTAATTTTAAATTAGATTATTTAAAATAGAAGATAGTTTGTGACTTATTTTAAGAAAGAACTTGCTATACTAATAAAGGGTTTGCTCGGGCAGGGCATTGCTTTTTTGTTAGAAAAAGTTGAGTCTTTTTTTTTATTTTTAACCTAAAGTTTTCCCCCCTTTTCTCTGCTTACATGATAAGAATATGTTGTTGTCGCCATTAGGTGCACGTTCTAATTTTCTCTTTCAACTTTTAGCTTGTGATGTAAGAAATTCAATCTTTTAAAAAGCAGAATTCTTGTTATCTTGCATTTATTAAGTTGTCTGCAAAGCCATGTGGAATATTTCTTGTGGTTCTAATGAATAAAATCTGATTGACAAGGACTACTTAAAAGTATTGATAAATTCTGAGTATATTTTAAATATGATAAAAGGATTATTTATCATTTATAAAACATATTTCACATTTAATGCTCTCTTAATCCTGCATAAACTTTAAATCTTTTAGATTTAACCATTTAATATGACATGTTATATCTATGCATTAATTTAAATCGATAGAAATTCGGCTAAAAAAGACCGATAAAAATTTAAAAAAAAGTAATTTGATAAGCAAATAAAATTTTAATCTGATATACCATATCGATGAAAAGTATAACTCTCTCTTAATGTCAGACTACAAAAAGATTTTTCAAAAATGATTTTGACCCACAGTTACCAAGATATAATGTTGTTAACTAGAGAAAGTGTCCAATACTGTGAGTAATTGAAGCTAAATGTTAAAAAAAAATTTTAAAAAAATTAAGGTTTTAAGGAAAAGACCACCAAATCAAAAAACATCCCACCACATTGACTTTTCTTTTTTTTCCTTTTTTTTTTTTGTGTGGTGGTGGGGGAAGGGTAGACGATACATTGACTTTTTAACGTGACAAAACTTTTGTAAAGAAGACATTTTTAATTTGTAAAATATCATTGTCGATCCCGAAATTTATTTCTTTCGCTCGCCCTCAAACCAGAACACAGTTAAAGCTAACTTTTCTCAGGAAAAAAAAAAAATTACACACACAAAATAATTATGTCTGAAAGAGATAATTTTTTTAAATGGTTTAGTCCCAGGGATACTTTGTCATAAATTTACCGTATATCGAACGCGGAGCCCCCACACACAATATATATATATATATATGTGTATGTAATATTTTCGGTCTTAATTATAAGAACCAGTTGATTAATTTGAAGAGATTAAAAAAGTAAATTAAATTAATTATTTGTTCTAAATAGATGTTGTCTTTCTCAAAATATCCTACTAATCAAGTGTATGGCTAGACCTGCCTAGAAGGATTATTTTAAAAAAAATATAAATATGAAAAAAAAAATTAAGATTTTATGTTTAGAATCAAAATAAAAATCAAGTTTAAAACCCGAGGTAGTATATAAGAGGATCTCTCTGTTTTCGAGATGTTCAATATTATCGCCAACGAATTGAATATTGGTTAGATTTTTTGTTTTCTTGAAAGGGGACTAATTTTACCTTCTTTTTTTTTTTTTCTGGGACAAATTTTGGGACTTAACCAATTGACTGTTTCTTGCAGCATGCTTACTCAATATGACCATTTGCTGAAAGAATGCGATATTTTATCCAGAAGGAAGAAACAGAAACGGGAAGAGAGAGAGAGAGAGAGTCATCATCTTCTGTGGGAAGGATCATTGAAACAAGGTAGGCTTAGGTTGAGAAAGGGAAATACAAATAAAAAATTAGAATAGGAAGTGGGGATTAAACGAAGTTGGATTCTTTATTTTTTGGAACTCACTCATAACCCTCCTTTCACCTTCCTCTCTCTATCCTTCTTGAGCTACAACTGAGCTTGAAGAATAGTCATCAATCAGGTACTCAGTAGATTTGGTTTCAAGGGATTTTCACTGATTTAGTCGTGTTTCTGATTATGTTCAATTTTCTGGCTGATCATTTCAGTCAACTGATGTTTTCCATTTATGATTGGTGTGTACTGTGCTTTGATGGTGGAAATTCAGTTTGATTACTTCTAGATTCTAAGATCGAAATCGGGTGGAACTGAATTGATCACTTAAATAGATGATCCAAACTGATAATTCTGTTCTCTTTCTTTCCGTTTGGTATTTGCATGGGCTTTGCTATAAAAAATGACGTGTCATCTTTTCTTCGTCTTGTTCTTGCTGATTTTGCTATGCTTCTAGGACGCTATACTATTAGCGTTCGAATGTTTAAGTATATGATCTTTGAGATTAAATAATCCTCGTGGTTTGACTGTGAAGATCTCAAGTACCGTAAAAATAGCTATATGATGCCCAACACGATGCAAAAAATTTCAACTAATACAACACAATGAATTATAATGCTACAGAAGCCTTAGAGAAAATGTTACCAACTATGTATTTGAAACTCCCTGTCAAGAACCAGTCATCCCAAAAGGTGGAACTTTTAGATTGAACAAAGCCCTGATGGTATATAGTGCTTCTGGTTGCCCCACAAGTTTACTAGTGACATGATAGAGGCTAGACTTTTGGTGGTATAGTTAAATGATGTTATTCAACATAATTCTTCTCGTGCTTTATAGTTGTGCATCTGTTCAAACAAATACGTATTTGTATTTGTCTTTTGTCACCTCTATGTTAATCAGTTAAACCTTCTATTTCTTATTCCTACAGGGGTGGTAGTAAGCCTAGAAAGTTCTGGAGATTGCTGAAACTTCAACATATTTAATCATGGTGACTTAAATTAGAGTCGGTAAAGCTTCTTTTGCTGTTTATGAGATTCATAAACTAAATTTACAGCATCAGATTCCTTCTTTCTACATGCTTGTTATTTTCTGTCCCAATCGTGGCATCACGGTAAATCCTGGCATTTAAAAATACATCATGCTATGATGGAACAACCTGGAATGCAGAAACAGCAACAGTACAATAGCATGGAACCTAGAAATGAGGAACTCCATTCTGCACCACAGTCTACTGTGCAGGACCGTCTGGAAGGCATGCGTGTCAATATGAGGCCTGCTGACCGTAATATGTCAGATAAGAAACCTGTACTTAATTACTCCATTCAGACTGGTGAGGAATTTGCTCTTGAATTTATGCGAGATAGAGTGAATCTCAGGCAGCCTGTCTTTCCAAATATCGTGGGTGATCCCAATTATGCAACAGGTTATATGGAATTGAAGGGTATTTTAGGCATTAGTCATTCAGGATCTGAAAGTGGCTCAGATATTTCTATGCTCCCAAAAGTTGAAAAAGGTCCCAAAGAATTTGACAGAAGAAGCTCTTCTATGCAGCGGGACAGAAGCAATTATGTGTCAGTTCGATCAATCCCTAGAACTTCATCTAATCAAGAAAATAACCGAGTCCTTCATGGTCTTGCTTCGTCTGGAGCTTCTACTGGCTCATCAATGAAGATGAAGGTTCTTTGTAGTTTTGGTGGTAGAATATTGCCACGCCCCAGTGATGGAAAGCTTAGATATGTTGGAGGTGAAACACGTATTATATGTATCAGAAAGGACATAAGTTGGCAGGAGCTTATGCAGAAAGCCTTATCACTCTATCATGAAACTCATGCTATAAAGTATCAGCTCCCTGGGGAAGATCTTGATGCCTTGGTTTCTGTATCTAGTGAGGAGGATCTGCGAAATATGATGGAAGAATGCCGTGATCTAGAAAATAGAGAAGGATCACAAAAACTTAGGATGTTTCTGTTTTCCATGATTGATATGGATGATCCTAGTGTTGATGGTGATACGGAAATCCAGTATGTGGTGGCTGTTAATGGCATGGACTTGGGATCAAGGAACCATTCAGCCCTTCATGTTGCAAGCGCTTTTGCTGATAATTTACAAGAACTAGATGGACATAATATTGAGAGGGAGGCCAGTAGAACTCAGATGGAATCAACTGGAGCTACTAGTTCTTCCTTGGCTGCCAATGTTAACTCGTCATTGGGAATTCAGTTTTCGCAACCAATGATTCCAACTGCCTCAAGTGCTTATGAAAGCAATCTGTTGTTTCATAGTAGCCATCATGAGGAAACGAGTCAATATCCAGTGCACTATGGTGTTGATTCTTCTAACAACTCAGCTTTTAGACATATTCCAGCTTCTGCGCCTACACATGTTCCTAACAATCAAGGAATTATCAATGAAGGGCATCCACCTGATGTGTTGCAAGTAACAAATCCAGAAATGCCACCAATGCAGGTAAAGAAAAGGGTTGATGGTTCCATTAAGCATGAAAGTGACTCTGGAAAAGGCTTATCCTCAGAAACACCATATCCTGTTCCTTCACAACCATTTGATGGAAATTTACCGGGTAATTTTTCTGAAGTACCAGTTACAAACGCTGTACCAGGGGTGCACCAACATAAATTGCCTTCAAAAAGCAAGGGCAAGCACCAGCATTATGAAGAGGCCTTCTCATTGGTGAATACAGCAAATTCCCCACAGATTCCAAAGTCTGGTGAAGATGACCTCTGTTCTACCTCTACTAATGCTTTCAATCCTTCTTATGTTGATTCTGGCTCCAATGTTGTTGATTTGAGCTGCCTTGAGCCTCCTGCACTTCCCAACAGAGTCTATTATTCAGAGAGAATCCCTAGAGAGCAGGCAGATTTGCTGAACCGATCCACAAAGTCAGATGATTTACATGGTTCTCAGGCTCTCGTGTCTGATCTACTCTCTGACTTCAACCAACAGAATTCAACTACAGAATCAAGTGATAAGTTACAGGCTGGAAATCTGTCAAATCTGACGGCAGTGTCAAGCATGACAGCAAAACCATTGAATCCAAATGGCCATGCCCTTGGCAATGGGCTTGCCCAGCTACAAAATCAAAAACAATTGTCAGATGCAAACAACACAGATTATAAAGTTGCTGCAAATGAAGATCGGGTCCTTAGATCTGAAAATGAAACCAATTTATCCAGAGACAATCATAGCAATTACATAGTTGATGAAACCAACAGCACTGACCATCCTCCATTTCACAAGGTTCCATCTGACCGTAATTTGGGTGATGCTTCTAACAAAGAATCCAGCAATGATGCTAAGATTCAACCACAGCCCTTTGCTTTAGCTGGGAACATGAGCCAAGATGTTTCTCAAGGTTTACCCTCAGATGCTGTTTCCGTGCCTGCTCAGGGTGATATTATGATTGATATTGATGACAGGTTTCCTCGCGATTTCCTTTATGATATGTTCTCCAAGGCAGTACTCTCTGAAGATTCCTCACGTATTAGCCCATTCCCAACAGATGGAACAGGTTTAAGCTTATATGTGGAAAATCATGACCCAAAAAGTTGGTCATATTTTCAGAAGTTGGCAAATGAAGGGTTTGATAATGTGTCTTTAATTGATCAAGATCATCCAGGTTTTTCATCTGCATTGAGAAAAATGCAAGAAGAAGATAGTAGATCTCGGCAAGTTGCACCCCTGCCAGCTGATGGAGTTTCAGGAGGCGGTGATTTTGGTAAAGAAAATCAGAAAAATTTGCCTGTAACAACTAGAACAGAGGCCACTGTTCTGCATCCAAACTATGATCAAACCCAAGTTAGTGAGACTGAAAGCAAGAATTTGGATCCAGTAAAGGGAAACACAAGAGTAAAAGACTCTGAATATGAGGTATGCTATCAATGGCTTTTCTTATGGGGACAAATCTACGCAAGTATACCTTTCCACTGATAAAATTTGTAATGGATTGAATTTAGGATCGCAAGAATGAAGCAGGGAATCTTGGTCATCTGCATGATCGTTCTTTGGAGGATATTGACATCAGTACTTTGCAGGTATAATTCATGGGTTTGTTTACTAAAAAGAATCCTCTATTATAGGAGTGAAGTAGAGAAAATCTAAGGATCTAAACTCGCATTACTTTTCTCATGCCCTTATGATGACACGTTATATCTGCATTTTCTTCTGGAAAAAAAAAGAATATTTAAATATTGCTGGTTGAAGTGACATTATTAAATTAAATGTATACAAGATTACAGGCATTTATGAAAGATTTTATGCTCATAGCAGCTCATAAATAATGAAGATCTTGAAGAGCTGAAAGAATTGGGTTCAGGAACCTTTGGGACTGTATACCATGGAAAATGGAGGGGAACGGATGTTGCCATTAAAAGAATAAAGAAAAGTTGCTTCACTGGTAGATCTTCAGAACAAGAGAGACTGGTAATTTATTCTTCGATGCCTTTGAATCTAATAAGTAATTATTTTTCTTTTGCTCCTTTTTTTTTTTTTAATTGTAGTTAGATTTTATTTTCATGCCAGTCATTCATGAGAATGAGTATATAACAGTAGCTTTAGAGGTTTTATATTGATGATCTTTGCTTCAATTTAGACTGTAGAGTTTTGGCGGGAAGCTGACATACTATCCAAGCTTCATCACCCAAATGTGGTAGCATTTTATGGTGTAGTACAGGACGGGCCTGGAGGAACATTAGCTACTGTTACTGAGTTCATGGTAGATGGTTCTCTAAGGCATGTTTTGCTTCGTAAGGATAGGTAATAGTCTATCCTGAGTTACTGCATCTTTATTGAGCCTCGTCATACCTATACCAACCTATGGTACGATAAAATTAAAAGATCCATGCCTGCGAGGCTGCTACCCTTTACATTGTTTGAAATAAACTGATATGATAATGACAATATCACAGAGATATCAGTCAGCTAATAACATATACCTTTGATACCCTGACCTATTTTTATCACTTAAAGGGCATAAATATGTTTTTCCTGAAAGATTATGTTCTTGGATTTTTCATGTGATCTTGGTTCCAGGTATCTAGATCGCCGCAAGAGGCTGATAATAGCCATGGATGCAGCTTTTGGAATGGAGTATTTGCACTCAAAAAATATTGTGCATTTTGATTTGAAATGTGACAATTTGCTCGTGAACTTAAAGGATCCTTTGCGGCCAATATGCAAGGTATTTATGTTGCAAAGTATTCCTTTCTGCAACTTGTCTTGACTGTTGAAGAAGTTAGTAACGTGCTCTTTCTCCAGGTTGGTGATTTTGGCCTTTCAAAAATTAAACGAAATACCCTGGTTTCTGGTGGCGTGCGTGGAACTCTACCTTGGATGGCACCTGAGCTCTTGAATGGCAGCAGCAACAAAGTCTCAGAGAAGGTAAAACTTCAAATCCGTATCTGAAGTTTTAGTCACTAGAGCAGAACACTTAATGGCGATTCATTCGTTCACTAATCTACTGCACCCACAATAATTTATTTTGGGCCTTCTGATTTTTTGTCCAGTTCATTCAGCATTGAAATGAAAATCAATCACGTGTAGCCCCATGCTCTGTGGGACTGTTTTAATGGTCTCTCATTATCTTTATTGTATATATCAACTTAAATATTCCTTTCCAACCACTGACTGATACCCATGTTTTGCCAACTCTCTAGGTTGATGTATTCTCGTTTGGCATTGTATTATGGGAGATTCTTACCGGTGAAGAACCATATGCTAATATGCACTATGGCGCAATTATAGGTATGTTTTTCTTCCTCTTTCTTCTTGAAACTGTCTGTAGTTCCTTTACCTCAAAGGCACAATTGTTAGCCAATGGATATTTCACTGATAATTCATGATAATCGAGTTACACTTTAGCACGAGCCTGATTTAATGTAAGATCAAATAGTTGAATATTTAAGGCATAGGTCAATAAGTGTCTGTAACAATTGAAAGAAAAGGTCCATATAGACCAATTAAACGAAACAATAGCCTTTAAATTGACACTCACACGTATACTGATCCAAATTACCTACTTTGGGACCAAATCAATAAATTTCCTTTACACCGATGACACAATAAGAAGAAAAGGCAATCATGGTGAGAAAACATTTCTCCTGGAAGCTCAGCCATCTTATTATGCTGCTGATTACTGGATATATAATCAGTTCCCTGAGCAGAGGTTGCTGTTGTAAGGTCATAGAGTTGGATGATCAGTTTAATATTTAGTGAGAGAACTCTGAGCTTTCTGTCATCTTTTTGGTCTGAGAATTATTCCGCCTTCACTTTCTTAAAGTATGTCATTCATGTAGTGTTCGGTGGTTTCCTTAATCTACTCATTCCCTTCAAATATTCCTTACGCCAGAAAATTCTATTTTTTCACTGTAAAACTTCCGTCTGAGCTTTGCTGGAAGTTTTTATAGTTTGGTTAGGCTTTACTTTCAGTTTTTTTCCGAGTAGGATCAGTTTCATAACAGATCACAGGGAGATATCTGGTGCTTGTCTTACGTAGAAATTATGTATGATTGAGAACGGAGTTAAAGATATTCTAAATTTGAGTTTTGAATGTAAATTGTCAGATGATGTCCTTGCATCCTTTCATTTCACATTTATCTTTGTTTTCCTCTGATGTTGTGGTTGGTTTCTCACTGCCTTTGTGACACACAAACTACAAGCAGGAGGCATTGTAAATAACACATTAAGGCCAACAATCCCCGGTTATTGCGATCCTGAGTGGCGGCAACTAATGGAGCAGTGTTGGGCACCTAACCCCGCAGCCAGGCCATCATTCACAGAAATTGCTCGTCGCTTAAGGGTGATGTCTGCAGCTGCTGGTCAGACCAAAGGGCAAGGCTATAGGGCATCTAAATGATTGTTCAGCAGATTTGATGCCTTTAACTTCATTCATTTGCACTGCAAATGTGGTATATTTATACAGAAGTCACGCAGTAGTACATAGAGGATTGTCGTTGTAAAATTCTGTTTTCTCCCTCGGTTTTTGTTTCCTGGTTACTGGATAATATTGTGTGCCAAACCACATTAAAATCATAGTCGTCAATATTTTTGTTTGTAATGGTATTTGCATAGTTAATCCTGGACTACGAATTTGGTTCCTTTCTTTCCTACGATTTCTTTTGAAGGAACACTGTGATCTTACATTGATAGAGTGAAACTCGAAACTGAAGGTTTCATTTATTGTGTGTGTGTGTGTGCTGAACTTAAAGCGGAGAAACTGCGATATACCAAGGGAAGATTTAACTCTGTTTTGGCAACAGATTCTGTTACATGATCAAATTCCAACATTCAGCTGCATATAATTATCTCCTATTGTTGCTGCCAAAGGTCACACAAAATGTGGTTTTTCTCACTCATTTTGCACACCCGTTTCTTGGGATACTTTGATTTGTTCAAAGAATTTTTGTACAAATAGTAAGTATACATTTTACTGCCAGAGGGACATTATCAGGATATTGCTGGAAGAATTAGCATAGTGTCATGGATAGTAAACCGAAAAGAAGAGATCATTATCTTAAATCTTCTCATGCTTTGTAGAACAGTGGAATCAAAATATAATATTTCAGCTATCTTGGCAATTTCAGAAATGATATGAAGAAACCAGTTAAATGACGTCATGCAATCCGTGCAACCAATATCATCTTGAGGAATAAGACTTCTTAATGTTGTTGTATATATATGGTTTGAGAATTCTGTTCCCCACATGATCATCAAATACAATCATAAATAACTAGCTCTTACATTTCTTACAAAATTTAACCTTTTTAAGGTGTGAAAAGATTCATGACGAGGTAGAACATAATTTTGACTTTATTCTAGTCTTATATTGCAGAGACAATAATGGTTATAAACAAGGACACGATCATTCTGCTGTGTCCTTCTTTTCCTATTTCCATATAAAAAGATAAATAGATCAAGCTAATAATTAATAACACGTAAATATATCATATAGATCTCATGAAAATCACAAGCCTGAAATGGTTGCGTTACTCTTCCGATTTTCAAAGAATTTCTCAAGAATGGATTATAGGGCTGCTACTCGCCAAGCAGAAGCCATCATTATTGACCTTCCTCTCCACCCAAGCAGAAGGCAACCCTTCTCACTGGACAATGTATATCCATCACAATCATAAACAGAGAGCATCATTCTAGCTTGACTTGTGCACTTCAATGCCATGACTTGAAACCCTGCTCGTCCCAATTGCCTTCGCCATCGATCTGCACTTTCATGCCTTTCCATCCTATTAAGGCCTTCATAAGCTACAATATTGCGAATCTCTTCTGCAAAATACAACCTTTCGATTTTTGACCTCGGCTGGCTATTTCTCGGCATGCTTGCCTCAAGTGAATCAAAAATGGCAGAGTAGTAGTGTAATGATTCTAGAAACCTCCCTAGAAAGAAAGGCCCATTGTGGTTTGAATCTTGCTCTACAACAGTAAGTGCAGCAGGATTTAACTTCTTGATTGATTGCAGAATTGCCTTGAGATAGCCCCTACTTTCTTTAACATACTTGTGCAAGCGCAGGATGCTATTAATAAACAAGGCTTCTCCTTCTCTCAAGTTCAGCTTCTCCTTAGTTAGAAGAGACGGGGTTGCTGGCTCTGGTATTATGTGGAACTCCAGTGCTATTCCAAAGGAACTTGCTTCCTCCACAAGCAAACTCATGCTTGATTGAAGTTTCAGTTCATCATCATCATAGTTGATTAACCCTGTGATCCGGAGCCTTGGAGCGCCCTCAGGCCTTGAGGCAAGAGCCCTTATCAAGGAAGACCATTGAAGGGCATGTTCCATTCCAAGATCAATTATGTGTAAAGAGTTTTTCCCTTGTGATGCTTGGCATATAGCTTCATTTGCAGCCATGTAGCCAAAGGCAATACATGGTGTAGTTTGGTAAAGGAGATGAAAAGCTTCCAACTTCATCTCCCTTGTTACCGAAGGGGCATTTATAGTAGTACCGTTTTTTACTGTATTATTTGCAGATACATTGTGAGGAAGAAATGACAATCTACACTTCAATCCTTCTGCAAAACAATAGGCGACTCTCTGTAATGAGTCACCCCAGGGACTAGCCAAAGTCCAAATTTTTCTGAGCAGCAAGTTTGCCTGCTCAGTGTCTTTGCAACTCACAGCCTCAGCACAAGCCAATAGCATATGAACCAAATCTAGCCCCTTGTCCATACCAAGGCTCATCTCTTCTGCACCAAAGGACCCCTCCTTCTCCATTTCTTCTTCCTGCATTGTGATTGGAACATACCCGTAAGCTTCTTCATTCATCATATAGAATGGATCAACCTCATCTTCATTATTCATCATGATGTGATCATAAGTTTGATTATGATGATCGTTCTCTTGAGGTTCTTGATCGTCTTCATTGGCATACTCATTATCGTCATACTGGTCGGTGTTGATGAAGCTATCAACAAATTCATCGACATCTGAAGAAGCGAGACATGGAGTGCTTATGGTGGCAGCATCAGAAGAAGACAGCTCGGTTTCATCAGGTGCTGTTGGTGGTGCTTCTTGATGATCTTGGCTCTGATCTCCTCGTTCTTGCTCTATTCTCGCAGGACAGAACCTTCGAATGGCGAAATCATGGTTGAGATTCTCATTCATGGAGAAGGATAGCCAGATGTTCACATCTTCCATTGCAGATTAAAGTGCCTGAAGACGCCTGCAAAAATGGAAAAGGAGAAGTTTATGGTGATTCGAGACTTCTAGTCACCATTGGCTCACAAGAACTAAGAAGTCAGTTTCCCTTTTTAACTTATAGGAGTCAGAATATTCTTGTTGTTTTTAATGCCGGACAATTAGCTTCATACAGAAAAATAAAAGTATATTCTGAGATAATAGAACAATAAAATTAGTACAGTTCAAGAATAATACCAATATTCTCAGAAAACGATCTTGAACTTCACTATATATTTTATATACTACATGTGAAACAAATACAAAGATTACCAGCTAAGCAAGGCTAATCCTCTGAAATAAATACTCAGAAGGCACTGCCTCTGCATCAAACACAACGTCCAATTCTTTAATAAGTTTTGAACTTCAGGTGCGAGCTGTGGTCAGTGCCTTGCTAAGAAAAACAAACTTGTGGGATTCATAAGAAACTAATAGAATGGATGTGTCCGTGAATTTCTGATTTCTTTTCATAAGCTGATTACACTTGTCTTAAATGCGGGAGGCCTTCTCTAATTAGGAGGGAGTTGTGAGGCTCTAGGACATTCTAAGACAGTTCCCATTAATAATTACATATTCAACAGCTATAGCACCATTAGGTTCCACCTCCCACAACTACTTTCATTTATGGCTCCAGCTTTCAATATGATATGTTGAATTGTCACTTTCCCACGAGCCTGTGGCTGTGAACACTAAGTCAATGAAGATTAAAACTAAAATGTCTTCAACTATAACACTCTATTCCTTATTATAAGTTACTTGTATCACAAACTCACAAACTAAAAAATATATTAAATTAACCAGTTTTTTTTTCATATTTACCCTTATTAAAAGTTGAGAGAGAAGGGGGGAGGGGATGGATTGTATAGGAAATAAAAAGTTCAAAGAGAGATTAATTAATTTTTTATTAAATTAACAGAGGTAAAATTGGAAAAAAGATCATTGATTATATACAAGTGACTTATATTTTGAAACAAACTTTTAGATACAAGTGATCTATAATAAGAACAGAATGACACAAGGGAAATCTGAGGTGTCTGCTCCTTAGGTTAAGCTAAACAGAAAATAACCCATGTTTAACCTGGAGATAGAATCTCCTTCATGATTGTTTTTAATCTTTTTAAAGGACTACACAACAAAAAACCTAGTTGTGGTACAAAAGAAAGCAGTAAGAGAGACAGATCGATAAGTTAGATTCCTTTTTTTCTTGTGGGGGCATGAGGGCTATGACTCATTTTCACTACAGCATCATTTTTTTATCAAAAATATAAGAGCATATACACATAGACAAGTGAGAAGAAAAAAGTAGGTAGGTGGGAAAAAAGGTCGAGAAGTCAAGTTACAGATGAAGACAAAACAAATCAGGCCTCTAAACATTCATTTTATGAATGTGTATGTTTAGGGAATCTAACGCAAAATTCAAATCTCTCTTCTCAATCTCTCTCTCTGTCTCTCTCTTTGCCCCACCCTGTGAGGTCAAGTTGTGTGCAGAACAAATGAGCCACACACACAAGGTAGGTATAGGTAAAACCAGGAAGAGGTCAAGCTTAATAATTGATGTTTGGCCCTGTTCATTTATTTAACATCAGTCCATTATAAAGAGGACGGCTTTTGGCGGTTTTTTAAGTGTTATGCATGTGCCTTTTATCAAGCCGTAAAGGAAGCTGAGCTTCTTCAAACTCTCACTGTACAATTTCCGTATCTTATACAAAGGGAACATATATTACCTCAGCCAAATTTATTATATCACTTTCTCATGTATGAACATATTAATTAGGTTTTGGCATATTTAAAAACATAGGATGCTAAGTATAAATTTGGGATATAGGTCTAATCAGCAACTTATTTCTTTTGCCCTTTGGTATCAAGCAAAGTAATTCAAAACACACATTGGATTTGACGAATTTGGATTTAGTGGGAAGGATCACAAAGGTGATAAAGCTTTCTCAACAAGTATTTTTGACACAACTATACTTAGGGCTGGAACTCAAAACCATTAGTTAAACTAATACAACCCCCTGCCAGCCTAAGTAAGCACTTGTTGTTTCTTTTTCTTTTTTTTTTAAAGCTTCCCTTTTTTATGAAATACTACCTCCGGTCCTTAATATAAAATCTTGTTTGACTTTTATTTTGATCCTAAATATAAAATCCTAATATACTTTGTTTCTTATATTTATCCTTTTTTTTTCTAAGATAGTCTTGTAATAATGATAGTTCTAGATAATAAATTTGATGAAGTGATTTATAAATAGAATCACAAGAATATTTGAAATAAGAAAAAATATATGAACATATGAATAGGAGAGTGCGGTATGGGAAACAGAAAAGCCGGCGTCGTGCAGCACAAGAGGGGAGGGGGCCGGTTGGTAAGTTGGTTGGCAGTAAGGACGAGGAAGACGCAAATCTTGGATTGTGTTGGGTGCAAGTCATGTGTTTGTTTGTCCCTTGAAGCTCCATTTCTCTCTTTGGTCGGCTACCAAACAATATGACGCTCCAAGCTGGCTTCATCTAACACCCACCCTCCACTCTCCCCATATTATTATTGTTGTTTTTTTTTAAATTTATTTTATTACCTACTTGTTCTATGTCCTTTCTTTTCCTTTTTCAAAATTTTATTTTCTTTCTCCGACACCATCAATTATGATAACATATTACCATTTGAGTATTGGGGGGGGGGGTTGTTTTCTTTATAAAAGGCCTCTCTAAATTTTAAAAATTAGTATAAATCTAATTAAATTTTTTGGCAAATATTTATTTTTTGTACAGTATAGGTATCTTCCTATTAAAGGCAATCATATTCGAGGCACTGTCGAAAACTAAATGTGGGCACCTCTCTCAGTGGGGATTCAACCTTGGTTCAACACGTTGGGGGAGACTAACCCCTTCCGTCAGACCCAACCCTATTGGTTTTTTTTTTTTTTGGCAAATATTGTTATGATAATTTTTGGATGGCATTATGAAGTTTGAACTAGCGTTCCGCAGGGGACATTTTGAGAGGCCATGGAGAGCCCATGAGCACATTAAGAGTTGAGAGATTGTTGATCGTCAAAGTCTAAATGGGCTTTGTAAGTTAAGTTGGGCTCAAACTAAGAGCTACTTCTGGCCCAAATTTAAACAATTCGGCCTGCCCTTTATGGACTAGGCTTTAAATTTAATATAGTAGCTGACACACAAATTTAGACTTTTTTTAACAGTAATTTAAGTTAATTTGCCTTAATGGCTAACAAAAAATGTCAGAAAATATCTTAGTAATTTAAAGAAATCTTACAAAGAAATAAATACAAACTAAAATATTGTATTAAAGTCCGAGTCTAATCCCCACTTAATAGAGTTGTCAAAATAATAATAAAAGCAAAAATGAATTAAAGCATGTTAATTTTATCAACTTTTATAATTTTAGTCCAACTGGTCATGGGGGTACTATAGTTGCTTGATTCGGCGACACTTTTGAAACTCAAGCTAATTATTTTTGGGGAAGAATTCCAATAAGGTTTAAATAAGAAAAATAATTACTAAAAACTTTTAATAATAACCTAAATAATTTGTAATAATAAATTTTAGAGCAGAAAATAACAATCTATAATACTTGTTTTTGTAATTATTTTTTTTACAATCTCTTTATAATTCTCTCTTATTTTTACATGCGGAATGGTTAAATAAATTATAACATAAATAGAAATGAACGGTTCATTTTGATCAATTTGTATTGCTACGTAATTCCAAATATGCCCTCAATGTTTGTTTTTTATTCCCAAATTATCCTTCCCGCCCTCCGCTGTACTCAGACAGGCGCCCCCGCATGCCCTGTCATTTTCTGGGTAAGTCACGGTCGTCTCTGCAGGGAGCACAGCAACATCCAGTATCTTTATGCCACGTGGGTGCCAGAAATATTCCCTCATAGAGTCAGAACTCTCACATGCCGACACGTGTCGAGGCGCGATGCTCCCAGAAACTTTCTCTCTCTAGAAACGCCACCATATTTCAAACCCTCCCCGGTCCCTCCCTCGCTTTTATGCGCTCAACTTTCTCTCTCTAGCTCAACCACACTCTGCTATCCTCTCTTTTCCCCCTCACTCTCTCCCCTAGGGTTTCTCCGCATTGACGAGCCACGAGTCAAGCTTCGGACTAGATGGGTAATTGTTCCGATTTCGCCTTAAAGTTCCCTTACTTTCTTAGGGATTTAATCTTGGTTTCATGTGTTCTTTATCCTCTGCTCAGTCGTAAAATTAAAATCTCAAGATTTTTCAGTTTTCAGTTACAATCCTTCTTTGTATTTAGCTGACCCTCAGCCTATCTTTCTTGTTCTTTCTTCTTTCGACTTGGTCTTTATGGGTCCTATGCTTCTTCTAATTTGATTTTTATTATGTGGGTTGGGACCGTTAATCGGTTGGCATGTGGATGATTTAATTAGGTTGGATGGTAAAATGAGCTGTCAGCTTTATGAACTGTTCTTGGAAATGATCATGGCTACATTTTGGCTATGCATGTGCTAATTACATGAATCTAACGGGGGGAAGACATGTGAGTATGAGTACAGAGGAGAGTAAACATGGATTGTTGATTTTTCTTGCATGTGATTGTTTTATGAATTAATAGTTGGGAGGGAGTTGGGTGGGTTATCTGTAATATCAACTCTGGACTCTAGGATGCTTATTTGTTTTTATTAGTTTGTCCTTTGACTCGTACCCACTGAGAGGGGGCCAGATGAATGCAAAGAAACTTGCTGGGTTGGGTTTTAGAAACTGTAGAAAAGTTCTTGACCATCATGATTTCCATTTCTGTTTGGTGAAACGAAATAAAAACTGAAATGCCCTAACCATAAGTAATTTTCACAATAGCACCTGCATAACTTTTACGTTTTCCCAAGCCTTCTTTGCCTTATAGCCGTTAAGGTTTTGACCTTTCTGTTCAGGCTTCATCCCTAACTGACTAATTTTTTAGGTCTGTTAAGCCCTGGACCCTGTCTGGTTTGACAATTGACAAGGAAAGGGTGAAGCAAATTTTTTTTGTTTTTTTTGCAATGTCTATTGTAAAATTGGAATAATCACTCACCAGTCCCCCCCCCCCGGGGGAATCTCTTTTTAGTAGTTTTTAGAAGAAGGGGCATAATTTTATTTTATATATATATTTTTTTGTGAATCAGTGTAAGCGTTATTTTTTATCTTCTAAATCACTTTATTCACTTTATTCCCTTCTCATTTCCATTTTTTTATATCAAATCGGGATATGGCAGGTTTTTTTTTTTTTTTTCCTCGCTAAGCATCTTTAAGGTGATTAAAAGAAAAAAAGAAAAAACTTGCTCTTATCAGCCATTAATATTCAATATTGGAGTGAAGAAATACCAACTTCTTACTAAGCTACTGTAATCTTGGTCTTCACCAATATAAATCTTTGTCCATACAGAAAT